TACAGTTGTTTCTTTAGATGCAGAGAAAGCATTTGACAGAGTAAATTGGAAATTTCTATTCGCTACTTTATATAAATTTGGATTTGGAAACTCTTTCATAGATTGGATTAAAATCTTATACAGTTCCCCAAGAGCTTCTGTCAAAACAAATGATCATACTTCTTCATGCTTTAGTCTCCAGAGGGGTACCAGGCAGGGTTGCCCACTCTCTCCATCGCTATTTGCTATTTTTATAGAACCGCTAGCAGCTGCTATCAGACAAAATAATAATATTAAAGGAATTCAAACAGAAAATATACACCACAAGATAAGCCTTTATGCAGATGATGTATTACTTTTCCTCCTAAACTCACAAACTTCTCTTTCTGAGACAATCACACTTATAGATTCTCATCCATCTCGGACTACTCCATTAGCTGGAGTAAATCCATAGTTTTACCTGTAAAGTGTGATCTCCAGAGTATATCTACCACACCGCTAAAGTCTGGGAATATTAAATATCTGGGTGTCAGTATTTCCTCCAGGCTGTCAGAACTGACATGGCTAAACTACACACCTTTACTTAAATCAATAGAGGATGACCTTGTATGGTGGACATCATAACCTATATCACTCATGGGAAGAGTCTCCACCATAAAAATGATGGTCCTACCTAAAATCAATTACCTGTTTTCAATGTTACCCACCAAACCCTCTGCTGTCTGGTTTAAGTCACTGGACTCAAACATCTCAAAATTTTGGTGGAAAAATAAACCCCCACAAATTTAAAAACTATGCAAAAAGCAAAAGACTGTGGTGGTTTAGAACTGCCAAATTTTTATCATTTCTTCCTGTCCAATAGACTACAATATATCTCAAAATGGATCAGAGCCCCCTGGACCACTCATGGATGGACACAGAACAAACATTCTGTAAGGAAATTAAAATTTCCGATATGCCATTCATCAGTTCCAGCATCAAACGTCATACCTGCTTTAAAAGCATTAACATAAGCACTTCCCTGGCAGCTTGGTGGGAAGTGCTGAGTCTGTGTCTTCACCTATCCCATGCAGATTTACCCCAATCTGGAATAATCCTGACATCCTGCAAAATAAGAAAACGCTAAATTCCCCACTGTGGTATGACAAAGGGATAAGACATCTAGAGCATGTAATGCAAAGCAGCAACTTTATTCCATTCCAGGATCTAGTGGCACTATATGGAATTATTGTTAGATTTCTGGAATTTCAACAGTTTAAATCCATAATTCATGCTAGATTTAAGGATAAAATAATGGACTTAGATTAACCTCCAATGATAAAAGACTTTCTTAAACTCTCGCCTCCAAAACTGTTATCAAAAGTATACATGTTACTGTTAAAAGCAGACAGTTCAATCTCTCTCCTATTCTTAAAGTGGGAGACAGATCTATGCATTAGACCAGACCAAAACTTTTGGATATGTTTAAATACCTTTAGAATGACCAAAAATCCCAATCACACTATATTGGACAAAGGATGTTCAGAATGGGTCTTATGCAGTCAAACATCTGCCGGAACTGCTTAGGTAACATATCTGATAGTTACATGCATGCTATGTGGCAATGTACACCAGTTCTGGCAGAAGATATGTGAAAATGTAAATGCAAATGCTCTGTACTTGTATAGCGCCTTTCTAGTCTTTTCAACCACTCAAAGCGCTTTTACACTACATCTCTGCATTCACCAGTCACACACATTCATACACTGAGCCTAAGTGCTCAAACGGAAACTAACATTCACACTCACTCATACACTGGCGGAATAGTCACCAGGGGCAAATCGGTATCTTGCCCAAGGACACTTCGACACGCAACCAGGGGGAGTCAGGGATCGAACCGCCGACCTTCCGATTAACAGCCAACCCGCTCTACCTCCTGAGCCACAGCCGCCCCTGAAGACCTATAGATATGGCTAAGTTACCGCATCCCAGTTTCCCCATCACTCTACGTGCTGGGGGACCTAATTGACATTAGTATAGATGTTGACACATCATACATGCTTCTCACTGCCTTATGCATCGCCAAGAAAACTATCCTCATGGACTGGAAGACCAAAAAGAATATAAGTATCGCCCAATATAGGAATCTCCTTATAGATCACATTAGCATGGAGAAAATGTCTGCTATAAAAAACAAATTGACACAATTTCAATCTCTCTGGTCCCCCTTGATCAACTTTATGGGGGGGGTGCTTGTGGTGGGTTTCTGTCCGGTGGTGAACGTGCGATGTGGGTCACGGTGTAGCCGTAGGTGGGGGTCTGTGGTCCCTCTGGCTGCGGGGGGGATGGGGGCGGTTTGTGCCGGCTGGAATCTCTCCTGTGCAGCGCATTACTTGGCTGTTGTGTGGCGTTAGTTACATTGGTAGTGTTGGTTGGCTCACTTGTAGGTCATGATTGGATTGCGTGCTTGTCGGGAGCCTCAGGTGCGGGCCTGGACTGGGCTGGTGTGCGGCTCTGTCCTGTGTGCATGCTGTGCATCCTGATAATTGGGTGGGTCCTAGGGGCCCCCCTGGACCCGTCGCATTTCAACGTTTAATGCTGTAAATAAACATGTAAAAAGAGTAAAACTTTCAATAAATGTAAAATAAAAAGTGCGTGAATAAATCCAAAATTGTAAGCCTAACCCTGGGTCGTCAGTGCGCATGTGTAGGCGTAGCGTGTGTGGTGGCGGAAGAAAAACACTTGCTGAAGAGATGGAGCCCCAGCTTCACTGATGTTGTGGCAAGTTGTCCGCACCTCGCGGGACTTTCGGATAATTTATCAATGTTGATGAACCACACAAAAAATATTTTACGTTTTTTAAATAGCCGGCTACTTGAAATAGACTCGCGAGGAACTGCAAGGTGCAAGCAGTTGTCGGCAGCAGGAATACACACAAAACTCTGCACAAGACCGGTGAATGAGAGAGAGAGAGAGAGAGAGAGAGAGAGAGAGAGAGAGAGAGAGAGAGAGAGAGAGAGAGAGAGAGGGTGTTCAAAAAGCCTCAGTTTAGCTGGAAATTACAGTGTAACATACAGTGTAAGTTGAATGAATAGAGACTGCAGCTCTGCAGCTTCTCAAGATTAAAGCGGAGCCACCATGTGTTACCGCCCCACTCGCAATCGCCGTGCACAAAAACACACATGATTCGACCTATCAGTCAACTACAGGCAGGACTTGACAATTCTGATTTGACTATGTAAATCCTTAGCCCTAGTATGCTAATTATGTTAATTTTACACACTGTTAAACTGCAGAAGAGGTTGCACTCAAACAACATATGTTATGTTGGAGGTCACATCCAGGTTTAACCAATCATGACAAGAAGCCATTCAGTTTTAATCATTGCCATATCCTAATGAAGATTATTCTTCTTAGCTGGGAAATGCCTGCCTAGTTTATAAGATTATGCATGGTTTATCTCCCCCTCCTCTGTCTGGTTTCGTCAACTTCAAGTCAAGCACAAACAGAGCTAGCAGCAAACATTCTTTCCCTTCAGAGCATTAATGGAATTCAATACCACAATCAATTCAGAGTCCCAATCATATTATTCATTTAAGTGTAATATTAAGAAAGAAAAGAAAAGAAATAAAATAAATAGAACTGCACATGAATGTGTGTTTCTAATTAGGAAGAAGATTAAGCAACTTCTGCGCATGTAGAACAGGTTCAAAAACCTCAAAAACATTTTGTGTGGTACACCCAAAATTGTGAAACTACTTTTGTCTTTGGTTTTAGTGAATGAGTGAAATATATGTCTTTAGATAATCCTAATTATATAGATGATATTTACATTATCAAGGAAAGCATTAGGGCCAACTCCACAAGTCAAGACTCAGCAGTTTACTTACATTTGAAGGATAAGGGAGACTCCTTTGAGGACAACAATGTACATAGTCTGGATAGGGAGGACAGATGGTTTGAAAGAGGAGTGAAAGAGACATTTACACCAGAGTAGAGAAACCATCTCTCAACAGACGAGGAGGGCTGGGACACCACTTATCCCCCGAATTACAATGCTGTCCTTTCATCTATCTCTTCCCAGGAGATAAAACAAACGCTCACCTTTGGCCTCATGTGAGATTACCAACAATGGTCGTACAGACTTGGCCTCAGGTGACTGTTACAACCACAAAAACATTACAACAGCCAGGAACACTAACAAACCAAGCAGTACCCATCACCTTGATAATGACCCCACAGAGGTTAAATAGCTGGGCCATTCAGTCAGACCTGAAGAAACATCTCTCAGATCTCTCTCCCTTTATGTCCCTTCTGTCTGTGGATTGTTACAATATAACTGATGTGTGTTTCATTGAAGTGTAACATGTTCACATGATTGCCTGTGTCACATATACACTACACTTAATGGCGCAGATGCAGCATAGGCAATCATCTTAACATTACACCTAAATAAAAAAAAAACACATTGCCTACACTGCATGTGAAATTGCAGGTATAACATCAGAGGTTGGTCAGATTGTAGAGTTTTTGTGAGGGGCTAGTGAAGCAGTTACTTCAGGTACTGGTGTACACAACTACTTATATGTTCCACCTCTAATAGTAGCGTATGTTTCATGCACAATTTGTGAATTTTGTGTAAACCCCAAATCTATATGAAACCTCCGAAGCGACACCTGTGTGTAACACCTGTGTGTCCATTGCAAGTCTATGTAAATCTCTGCCGTGCATTCAGAGGTTTGGTCAGATCTTAGACATCTTAAGTAGGTGCTAGTGAGGCATTTAACGTTAGTTGGCTGAATCATTTGACATCTCATTTGACATCTTTTTTTGAAGAAAAAAGAGAGTGATGGAGGAAGCAGGAAGAAAAGTTGCCAGGCCGAATTCACCTGCTCATCCATCTTCTCATTCATCCATCAAGCCATCAACCCCATCAAGTCTGAGACCATCCAAAAACTTCAAACAAGGACAAACACACACACACACACACACACACACACACACACACACACACACACACACACACACACACACACAATCTATCCAAGAAAGTGTACACAGCCCTTGTTTATTTAAATAAGTGATGGGGAACCTTGAGATGTGACAGTAGAGATGCACCGTGACATTCAGAAGGCTTAGGCTAACAGACAGAGATGGATTATGTCACATGGGGGGCAGCTCTAGTTCATAACTAATGCAATAAATAAACTGGAAAGAATATCCCTTTAGTTACAGACCGTGGTCGCAAGCTTCAAACACACACAGAAACGCACACATACATTGCAGCAGGACACTACCACACACTGTGTGTGACTTGAATTCAAAACACAAAATAAAAGCAGCTACACTACCACAAACAAAGACACAATTTCTCCCCCAGCATGCACCAGGTCCGACCACCTGGAAAGAAACCTATTATAGCAAAAAAACTACACAAAAACATAACCAGCCCCTACAACAAAACAGTAAACAGGCAGACACATTAACACCCAACGTCTTACCTGGTGAGGAGGTGTGCGCAGTCAGACAGTAGATGGAAGTACATAGAAAGAAAAAAATGAAAGAGAATCTGTTAGTTGTCATGTTCGGCAGTAGACATTCAGCAATAGTTAATCATCTTCAACCCTACTGGACCCACACAAGAGCACTTCACAGATTCAGAATTTGCACATTTCTAAAACATCAAAATCAATGCAGCAGAGATATTGTCTTTTTAATCCATTCATTCTTTGTCTACATTACCCACAATGCAACTCAAATCTAATCACTCGACTTTACACATTCTAGTGTTGTGCTAGTAACAGCTACTGTAGCTTGGAAAAAATCACCTCACAGCACAGTATCGTTCTTGGGGTCTTGCTTCAGCCCTTACCAACGCTGACTCAAGTGACATCACTTGGGGATATTTATCAGATTTTACACAGCTCCCTCTGGATGCACAAATGGCTTTACTAATGTTCGAAGTTTGTTTTAACTGTAAATGAACTTGTGTGTTAACAATTGCTCTAGTTATCAAATATCATGTAAATCTGTAGTGAAATTAGTCACAATCGTTATAAGCAAATTGCAATTCCTAATCCTAAAGTTCTTTGACTGTGTAGACCTAATAGTTAATCATCAGAGGCCACACGCCTCTGGAGCAACTAGGGTTTAAGTGTGCTCAGGGACAAAATGGTGGATGTGTAACAGTGGGGAACTGAACCTGCATCTCTCACACCAAAGGTATGTGTCTTATCCACTGCCCCATCACCACCCTCATCTATATCTATATCTAAATCTAAATATATCAATAATATACAAATTAACACAAAATTGAATTGCCTTAGTTAAACCACAAACCATTATTGTGGAGGGCATGATACCATGTTAAGAATGTTATTCCTACATTTAAGTAGTCCGCCCCATGCTGCACTGACAGTACTGAAGACAAATGCTCTGTCAATAAGCTCACTGCAGCTTCGTGTTGAGCAGCTATCTGTTACTGTTCTCATGCAGTCTGATGTGGATTTCTCCTTTTCAGGCTCAGTTACAAACACAAAATGTCTGGTTTCCACCCTGAGATCAACAAGTAAGTAGATACAAGTTGAAGATATCACATTTATTCACACAAGAAAGATATCAAGAAATGAACATGGACACCTAAACACCCACAAGTGAACAAATAATGCTCGCTGAGGAGTATGCAAGCAGCTCATAGATCTCCGATAAATCTTAGTGATTTTCCAGCTGAAGCCAAACACATTCAGCTCCAACAAACTCATCACAACCACCAGTATTGAATTCTCAGAGTCAATACCTAATGTTTAAAGTGATGTTGAATATCTCACACTTGTGTGGCTCGCCTATTGTAGAAGTAGCAGTAGAGATAGTCCACTGCTTAGTTAGGTTTAACATGTCCTTGTATTATGAGTGTGTAATGCACAGATTGTCAGTTGATCATACATCACATGCAATGCATACATTGCATTAATATACCTTGGATGCTGCCACATCTACATTTACTGTAGAAAAAGCTCCTCTGATTCTGAACTAAGCTCTCTCAGCAGCACTTGCGCTGAGGAGCAGTGGAGCTTTGTCCCCCTCTTGTGGCCACTACCACAACTAACATGACCACTACCCAACAAACAATCTTTCAGTCCAGGACTTCCCAATAATTCACTGCACACCTGACTCTTGAAATAGAGACATTGTCATCACAGACCACCATCTGACCCTGCATTCTGTCAGCACTGTATTGGAAGATGGTGAAACCATTGTTTAATCAAGTTCAAATTTATAAAATAGGCTCAAAATGAAATTCATGAATCCCTTCTTCATCACAAGAGCATTTAGAATCCCTGTAGGGTGCTGTTATGGTCTCAGAAGTTCAATCTCTAAACTCAAATATAGTTTCAGAACCACTTCAACAACAGCTTGAGGCGAAGCACTCTAGAAAACAAGAGGGTTGTAAAACAGCACACAAGGTAAGAAAACTCAGGGTGAAGAGTAACCGAGCAGGAAAGGGTGTGTCAGACGTAGAGAAAGACCAATGAACAATTAAAGCTACAAGTAGCGTTGGGCGGGCCCTCGCATGTGTGAGAGGTGAGGCGGCCGGGTTGCAGATTCTGGAGCTGAATTTGCCGCGTGCTTCGGACGCTTTGTGGCGCTACATAGCTCTTGGCGCTATGACTTTACCTGAATATTGGCATGTAGATGTGTTCGGGGTGTGACTGTTATCAAGCATGTAAAGTTTGGTGCGTATGAGCATGTACACAGTAGTTAAAACAATTTCCTCTTTCACGGCGAAGCGAATCATCGATTTTGGACGCCACGCCACGAGCACGCCGTTTCATGAAAACTCACCATTTGCACAACTTTTAATTAGAACTGGGTGATATGGCCAAAAATGTTAAAATTTCATATCATTTGATAGCCTGGTGACCTGTCCAGGGTGTACCCCGCCTTTTGCCCGATGTCAGCTGGGATTGGCTCCAGCCCCGCAACCCTGTACGCAGGATAAGCGGTTGACGATGGATGGATCATTCAATAGCGATAATTATCACGATATATGTCAAATCATTATTTCTTTCAAGTTTCAAGGCTGATATTTGCTCCTGAGTGAAAATTGAAGAAACCAGAATTATGTGGTTAAACTTTTCTTTATGGTAAGACACTTGATACCAAACAGTGGACCACTTCACAAGTCTGAGTTAGAATATTTAAAACTATTATAATATTTGTTTGACGATATATTGAACATTTATTATATTGTTACTGAGGAAACTTATATTGTGATAATTAGCATTATAGTTTTATTGCCCAGCCCTGATTTTAATCGTCAATGGCTTTAGAATAGACAGCGAAAACCTGAAGGCGGTTGGACTAATTCTTTAGGAGTAGTTTGTTAAAGTAGCCTGTAAATCGGCAAAACTTACCATTACATTCAAAATGGCTGACTTCCTATTGGGTTTAGGGCATCACTTCAGGAGGCTTTTAGGTACGTCTGGACATGGTACATGTGCCACAGAAATTTCATACATGTAGGTGAAACGTGCGGCAGGGGCTGCTTTGTTGATGGTCAATTCCTGTTGCCAGTAGGTGGCGTTATAATTGTGGGGAATGTCGGCATGTACATGTGTTCAGGGCGGGACTCTTATTAAACGTGTAAATTTTCATACAGATTTGATCACGCACAGTCAAGTTACAACTTCCTGTGTCACGGCGGAGCGTGAAACTTCAAGTTTCAGGGCGGGACTCTTATTAAACATTAAAGATTTGGTGCAGATGTGAGCATGTAGACTGAAGTTACAACAACTTCCGAATCATCGATTTTGGACGCCACGGCCAAGCTGTTCCACGAAAACTCACCGTGTGTACAACCTTTAATCGTCAATGGGTTTAGAGTGCACAGCACAAATCTGAAGTCGATCAGACTACATCCCTAGGAGGAGTTCGTTAAAGTACAAAGTGTGTAATTCGTCAAAAATGACCATTAAATCCAAAATGGCCGACTTCCTGTTTGGCTCCAATAGGCTTTTTTGTACGTCTGGAAATGATACACATACCACAGAAATTTCGTACACGTAGGTCAAACTTTGTCCGGGGGCTGCTCTGTAGGTGACGCTAGCGAGCCATTTTGCCACGCCCATGTGCGAGACCCATAAAATTATCCTGAATTATGTGCAAGTTTGGTGAGTTTTCGTGTATGTTTAGGCCCCCAAAAATGAGATTACTTTGCAGAAAAAAAAATGATTCCTTCAGTTCCAATAGGGATCTCGCACAGTTCCTGCTAGGGCCCTAAAAATAGGTTTGAAGATTGTGTGATGTGTTGCTGCTTGGAAGCTGCAGCCAGAAGTGGACCCACAGGCCCTGCAGTCACTCCTACATCACAGAGAAGGAATGACTCAGAAGGATCCCCGGAGTTCCCTCAGCTTGCTGTTAGAGACTCCAAGTTTACATTTTATATTTAGAAAGCATGGGCATTTACCAGGGAATACCCAATAAAGGTGCTATTGTTTTGCCTTGTGGGAAATGTAGGAAACAATAAGGTATTTGCAGCTTGATCCATGCTAGGGACCAAAAGTCAGGGTATCTTTACCTCTGCTGCTTCAATTTTGTTATTTTATTTTGTGGTAGTGCAGTACACACACTCAACTACTGGAGCCACACCATTACATTTTGGTAACAAATCAAGAAATCATGCACACAGACACAATTAATTTCCAACCAGAATGACAGACAGACAGTGAATAAAACACATCTTTGTCCTAACATCGTTCTTATGAAACACAAATATAATAATTCAGAGCACAGGAAAGAGGAAAAACAATGTTGAATGGTCTGTATTTGTATAGGGCCTTCTAGTCTTTCAGACCACTCAAAGCGCATTTACACAACATCACATTCACCGCCATTCACACACATTCATCATGCACTCTGGTGCCTCTGCCAGAAATACACATTCACACACCGATGGCATCTGGAGTAATGTGGTTCAGTCATCAAAAGAAATATTTTATTGATCCTCGAGGGGAAATTCTTGTGTAATGCAGACTGGAAGAGCAGGGGATCAAACCACCGACCTTCTGATAAGTGGACGACCTATCCCCTGAGCCACAGTCACCCTCAAGAAGAAAACAGCTTTAAAAAGAGTACAATAAAACATAGATACAACATTCACAGCTGTATTTGGGCATTATGAATAAAAAGAATTCCCATCCGGATACATATTTCATTTACCAAAAGAAACAAAGTTAAGAGCTTTAGAGGTTTTTATTTCACTTTAGAGAGTCAGACTAGCTGTGTCTCCCTGCTTCCAGTCATTATGGTACGCTTGGCTGGCTAAGCCCCCCGCAGCCAATCAAATTTGTGCAAGCACATATTCCAAGCACATTGTTTATGTTGCAATCTTCACCCTGACCCCAGCTCTGTACTTACATTACAAACTAACACCTGCAAAATCATCTTCATGAAATATGCTAAACTTCCTTTAGTGCTACATTTAGAAACCCTTAACACAAAA